AATTGCCGCCGGGGCTCCCTCGGCGCTGCGGGGCCTCTGTGAGCAAAAGTGCTACTTTCTCAGCTGCCGGGCATGCGAGGTGTGAGCGGGCGGTTTGGCTGCTGCGTCAATGAGTTTGCTCTGGAGCAGGGTTCCCTCTAAGCTGAGTTAGTGTGAGCACACAGTTTTTTAGCCTCCGGCTCACACCTTTTTGTCTCAGCTCAGGAAAGGAGGGCTCCAGAGCAAACTGATCGATGCAGCAGCCAAATCGCTCATTCACAATTTTAATGCCAGGAGCTCACAAAGTAGGAGCTGCGGTGGCTCAAGTGGTTAAGACGCTGAACTGCAGGCTGTGGAAGGTTTTATCAGGTTTTATAACCATTACTTAGAGCTACAGTGACTCTTAAGAGGAAACTTCCATCTAGCAATGTCCTCTATGTTTTTACCTACTTGTTTAAACTGTCTCAGCTTGTGGCTACCCCCGTATCTCGTGGCAGTGACTTTTATTAGGAGTCCTTTGCATCGTGTTATTTGGTCAGACCTGAATCTGCTGTTATTATCAATGTCACTGGGGTTATCCTGAGCTCAAATGGGATGAGAAGAGCTCTTACAATTCATTTGCATGCGTATAGCCTTGCAGTTCGAGACCCGGGTGCCGCATGATGGAGTGAGCTCCCGTCTCTAGTTCCAGCTCCTGCCAACCTAGCCGTTCGAAAGAAAGAAATTGCAAGTAGATAAATAGGTACTGCTTCGGTGGGAAGCTAACAGCATTCCGTGCGCCTTGGCGTCTAGTCATGCCGGCCACATGACCACCGAAACATCTTTGGACAGCGGTGGCTCTTTGGCTTGGAAACGGAGATGAGCACTGCCCCCTAGAGTCGGATTCAACTGTATTTCGGGCAGGGGAAACCTTTACCTTTACTAGGCTTGCAGTTTATTCAGCTTTGCTTACTTCTTTTCGCTCTGGTGTCTCTACGGTCTGTAGAGCCTGTAAAAGTTCCCACCTCTGTTAATGAAGACTTCCTTTGGTCGGTGTCCTTAGAGATACCTGGCATTCCTGAGGTAGCCCCTTAAGCTTTTAATCTCTTTCACAAGCCTTCCCTTCGTATCCTTCTTTCAGAAGATGTGCTACCAGGGATCTCATTGCTGAGTGAAACCAACCAGAATCCATTTTTCTCAGCTGCAGGTGTCCGTGCAAAGGGCCCCAAAGAGGTATGCAGGAAGCAAAGAAACGTGAAGCCATAAAGTTGAAAAATGGAGCAACTGGAACTGGTATGTGTTGTCACCAGGCTAACATTTTGATGTGCTCAATTCAGTTATTCCTTATTTTTAAGGAGCGATGCAAATTCTATAACGGGTCGTCAGTTTGGTTTTTTTAATCGCTCTGTCCCAGGAAGCAGTGGTAAGAGACTGTCTTCAGGCTCTCGGCTGAAAGAGAAAACAGAAGAGAGACAGAAAAGAAAGACGCTCTCTGCTTCGCCTGCTTCTCCTGATCCTGTCATTAAGCCACAGCCCCGGCCCAGTGACCGGCTTAATCCCAAAACGATTGATCCGGTATGTACAGGTGTCACTTCGGGAATCTGCATACTATTGGGATAGTGAGAAGGATCCTTGCCTTCCATAAACATATGGACCAAGCGAAATAGAGAAAGTTTTTGGAAATGCTGGGATGGATAGACAAACCCAATCCTAGTCACACCAGGTTGTTTAGTAAGGACAGAAGTAGTGTGGGAAGGCAGTCTCTTGAGCTCCTACCTCCCTTTGTGGCTTGCTGTTTTGTTAGAGAGCCAGTTTGGTGTAGTGGTGAAGTGTGCAGACTCTAATCTGGGGGAACCGGGTTTGATTCCTTACTCCTTTACTTGCAGCTGCTGGTGTGACCTTGGGTCATTCATAAGTTCTCTCAGAGCTGTTCTATCATGAGCAGTCCTCTAGAGAGCTCTCTCAGCCCCATCTACCTCACAGGGTGTCTGTTGTGGGGAGGGGAAGGGAAAAGCGATCGTAAGCCACTCTGAGGGTGCGTTCAGACGGGGCGTTTCAGCCGGCATTAAACTGTTCCGGTTGGAACCGTTGCAGTTTATGCCGGCTGAAACGCGATCACACTTACCTCCCTCACAGCGGAGCCCATCGCTGTATGCCTGTCCACACACAGCGAGCATTGGCGGTTTGTTTATTTTACTCAGTTTGCACATGCGCATAGGCAGCCATCCACAGAATGGCGATCTTCGTGCATGTGCAAAACACCCCGTCTTCTCTGTCCCAGCTGACAGTTTGAAAGCAGCCATTTTTAAAAGGCTAATTGTAAACTGCTTTCTGAGGCGGCTGGTGGGCTGAATCCCTCCTCCCGCTCCCCCGCTGCCGGGTCTGTTTAGATCCGTCTCTCTTTTAATGCCAGAATTGGAACTTAGGTCTTTCCTGGTCCAACCCAAGCGAGTTCACGGGTCCAGGGATCAAACTCTGGCTTTGCTGAAGCCCTGGCGCAAGTTTCCTCGGAGTTGCACTCTCCGACCAGCAAGAAGGAGGCGGAGATCTGGTTGCAAAGGCTGGAAAGAGGTCGCTCGCCTCTGCGCCAAGAGCCGCAGCCAGAAAAACGCAATTCCCTATTGGCGTTTTGAGGGAACGGGAGGGGCTCACCTGTCACCCGGAGCAGGAAGCAGCAGCAGCCGGCGCCGCGCCGCGAGAGCCCCGACGGAGCGCAGCCGGCCGGCCAGCTGGGCAGCCTCCCCGGGACAAGGTCAGGAGGGGGCAGGGCACTCCCGGTGCCTCATCAGGCCATGCCCCCCTCCCCCCCCTTGTAGCTGGGAATCAGGCTTGTTGCAAAAAGAGGGAGTCCTCTCGCGGCACCTTGCAGACTCTTCCTAACACAAAGTTAAAAGTTTAAAGAGCAAACTGGCCTCCCATTAAAGAGCAAACGCTAAACTAAGGACCTTTTCTTCTTTAAAAAAACAAACGCTGGGGCGAAGCTTCGCCCAAGCGCATATCGCCTACGTTTAAAAAAAAAAAATGGCGGGGGGGAAATCAGAAGCCTCTGGCTTCTGAACGGAAGTGGCTCTGCAACGTTGGAGAGCGATCAGACGGGGAGGTAAACCGATTACAACCGTTGCACTTAGGATACCACCACTTCGGGACCTAGTGGCAGAATGCAACGGTGTAAAGCGCTTTACAACGGTTAGGGACGGAAGGCAGATGTTCTACGTGTGAACGCCGGTAAGTACACCGATTGCAACTGGCATCTATACCGTTGCAAACACCGCGTCTGAACGCACCCTGAGACTCCTTCAGGTAGTGAAGGGTGGGGTATAAATCCAATCTGTTCTTCTTCTCTCCGGACACACACTTTCCAGCTGCCAAGAGAACTCTTCCAGTGCTAAGGGCAAAAACTCACTGTGCTGACCTCCAGCATATTGGTAACACGATGGTGGGTCCCTGTTGATGCAGTTCTGCAGACACTGGAGCCATATTTAATTTTTAGTCTTCTCTGAACTGTGTGCAGCTGAGTGACAGGTCAGTTTTCAGAGTGTCTTGGGATGCCATCTCTTCTATTTTTTAAGAGAACCCTGAATTCACTAAGGGCAATAAATTCTTAATCCATGTATGATTTTCCAGAACGTCCTTGTGGTGTTTGTGAATAATGTAGGAAGCCCTTTTCTTACAGTAGCAGGCTGTTTTTCTTCTTGGTTGCCTTGTCGTGAATGATAGTAAATATAAAGAATACAAAGAATGATAACAAATATAGAGTTGTGACTAATGCTGTTTTTGAGTGGAAACGCTTTACACGGGGGAGAACCATCCGGTTCAGTACAAATTAAAATGTGTGATAACAGGCAAGCAAAGTATAACATAAACTTGTTTGGCGTTTTATGTTGGGCGGGGAGAGGTCAGCGTGGGATCAGTTTGCAGTTGGCTCCCAAAATTACAGGGAATTTTGGGGTAGGAGTCCAATTCAAAAAGGTTTTAGCCCTGTCATGGTAAATGTGTAAAATCCGGCTGGTATTTTCTGCCCCATCAGTACAGGTTGCATCTTGTGAAATTATACGGAAAAATAAAATAATGACAAATGAATTTTCACCGAGGGGCTACATTTACAAATGTTTAGTATGTGTACAGCCCCCCCAAATGAGGCAAATAATGCCACAGGGGGCCATTTTGGGGTTGGGAAATGGCCCAGGTGGAGCGGGATTACCTCTTCATGCTGCAGTCCTGATCCCTGTGGAGCTTCTAAATTAAGTTTCAGCAAGAAATTTGAAGCTGGGGACCTGCTGCAAGTCCCCATTGCAATCACGTGGTAGATGTAACACAGGGGTGTCAAATTCATTTGTTATGAGGGCTGGATCTGACATAAATGAGACCTTGTTGGGCCGGGCCGGGTGTGTCATAAAATGTAATGCCAGGTAGCGGAGATATAAACTTTATAAAGGACCCAAACACAAAGGGGTTCTTTTTTAACTTAAAATAAAAAATGCTTAAAACATTAGCACTCTTGCAATATTTTGTTTATTTAACAGTGTCTGATAACTGACACCTCTTGCTCTGACTTATTGCATCAAAATGTCTGTGCTGTTGCAATCTTGAGTATGCTGTTCAGGTGTGTATCTGTAAGCTGCAAACCTATGATGATGCAGCAGCAGCAGAACCAGAAGAAGAAGCAGAAGACAGTCAGTTCCACTGCGGGCCTGATCCGGCCCCCTTTAGGGGCTTCATCCGGCCTCCAGGCTGCATATTTGACACCCCTGATGTAATATGTAGTTTGGCCTTGAGATTTTTCATCCCAAGCTGCTGCAAGCATTTGAGACAGCTTCTGTTGGCTGAGTGAACTTAAGCCCGCTTCCTTCACAGCATCTAACACAGAATTCTCCATTAAATTTTAACATGGTCCCTACTGCTTCTGCTCACTTTGCTCAAGGGATTCTCCTCTGCGCTATAGATCCAGCCAAAGCTTGACACTTTGGGGTACGCTGATTTTATTGGAGAGATTTAAGTATGTGCCTCACTCTCCTGTTGAGTGAAATACAGTTTTGGCCTTGGCTGCTCAGGAGTAGTCTTAATCTTGCTGCGTCAGGAAAAGATTAATATTTCAACAGCCATTTTCTTAGGGATCTTTCTCTTGCCGCTGCATGTTTCGGACAGTAGAAGAAGGCATGACGGAATGAGTCAAGTTCTGTCAAGGGGCAGTCACAATAGCGCTGGTCCAGGGGGGTCTTGAGAAAGCGGCCCTTCATCCGGGCTGTTGGAGACGCATTGCAGCTTGCAATCACGTATGACCGCCTCAGTTTTGGAATGGTCAACATGTAAACATGTTTAAGTAAAGAGGCAGGTCAGATTTGGTGGAGTGAAATGGAACGTGAACGGGTTAAGTTTGGCTGGGTCACGTCCAACTTATTTTTGTAATATTGTAATAATAATGTTAGTAGTTACCGCTGAACTAACGTGGCCTTCCTCTTCCCCCCCCTTGCAGTTTGGTGTCCCGTCCAAAGCTCCCTCGGCCTTTGCTGCCATTTATTCTAAAGGAGGCATTCCTTGCAGGTGAGGCTCGTGAGCCACGCAGGGTAAATGTGTTTCAACAAGAGAGCCAGGCAGAGTGTGGCAGTTCAGAGTGCTGAACGGGGGTCTAGGTGGCCTGGGCTCGAGGGCCCCCCCTCCCCCGGTGCCTGAGAGGCTCACTGGGTGACCTCGGGCCACTTGCGCTCTCTCAGCCTAAATGACCTCACAGGGTTGTTCTGAAGAGAAAATGGAGGGGACGAGGACCCCGTAAGTCGACTTGGGTGCCCATTGGGGAGGAAGGTGGGGGATCAGTCAATTAGGAGGAGGAGGAGGAGATTGGATCTATCCCCCGCCCTTCACTACCCAAGGGAGTCTCAGAGCGGGTTACAAACTCCTTTCCCTTCCCCTCCCCACAACAGACACCCTGTGAGGTAGATGGGGCTGAGAGAGCTCTTTACAGAAAATGCTCTTTTTCAAGAACAGCTGTGCCAGAACTATGGCTTGGCCAAGGTCATCCAGCAGCTGTGAGTGGAGGAGTGTGGAATCAAACCCGGTTCTCCCAGATTAGAGTCCACACACTTAACCACTACACCGAACTGGCTCTAAATAAATTAAATATCAAGCATGAAGGTAGAGGCATGTGTCCGACCTAATGTGGACTCTGACGGGGGGGGGGGGGAGTGCTCTTTCCCACTTCCTGCTCCTGCAGGCCATCTAGTCCAACCCCCTGCTCCATTCAAGATCGGCCGAAAGCATCCCTGACAAGTGTTCATCCAGCTGCTGCTTGAAGGCCATCGGTGAGGGGGAGCTCGCCACCTCCCTAAGCAGCAGATTCCACTGCCAAACTACTCTTACTGTAAAAAAACACAATTCTTCCTAATATCCAGCCAACACCTTCCTGCCAGTAATTTAAACTGACTCGTCTCCTCTGCTGCCAACGGGAACAGCCCCCCGCCCTCCTTTAAGTGACAGCCTTTCCTCTTAGGGCTGGGTCTCCAGGCCCCTGACGGTCCTTGTCACTCTCCTCTGTGCCCACTCCATTCTGTCCACGTCCTTTCTGAAGTGAGGCCTCCAGAACTGCACGCTACTGTGCGGCACACTCCAGGTGTGGCCTGACCTATGTGGTGTATAGCAGGCCTATGACATCTTGCAATTTGGATGCTATGCCTCTGTTGATGCACTCCCAAGATTGTATTGAGCCCCCCCCCCTTCAAGTTCTGTTTCTAGGCGCCAGTAGACCCTGAATAACAGGCTACAGGGCAAAATCGGGAGGGGGAGTCAGCAGAAACTGTCTCTTCTTCTTCTACAAATTAAAATGGTCTATAGACTACAAATGAAGCCTTTCTTTTATAGGGCTGCATTTCCTTTGAACATAAGAACATAAGAGATGCCAATGTTGGATCAGGCCAAACACTCTGTATCACACAGTGGCCAGAAATACCAGTGCCATCAGGAGGTCCACCAGTGGGGCCAGGACATTAGAAGCCCTCCCACTGTTGACCCCCCCCCCAAGCACCAAGAAGACAGAGCATCACTTGCCCCAGAGCCCCTATTTATACCTTGTGGCTAATAGCCACCAATGGACCTCTACTTGTGCAATACCAAAAATCAAATATTCGGAGGGCCGCACAATAGCCAATTAGCAGATGTTCTGTCTTTTAACAAGATATGAATATTACTGAGGATTTGTTTATACGTGCACTTTTGTCCTTGGCTTGATGGGGAATATGCAACTGTCCTCCACTGAAAAGCATTACGTGTGGTGTGGTTTGGTGTGGAAATACTGCCTGTGGCAGTTGATCTGTGACGACTGATTCACACATTTAAGCCCGCCACTTGATGCAACTAGATCAAGATGGGTCACGGTCAGTGGTCCCTCTCAGCTGTGGAGTCTCGTGAACAAAAATTCTGCTTTGTGAGCCACCTGCATTAAAGTTGTGAGTGAGCGATTTGTCTGCTGCATAAATTAGTTTGCTCTGGAGCCGTCCTTCCTGAGCTAAGACAAAAATGTGTGAGCCGGAGGCTAAAAAACTGCGCTAGCTCACACTAACTAGACTAAGAGGGAACACTGGTCGCCATGTTAGTCTGTAGCAGTAGAAAAGAGCAAGAGTCCAGTTGCACCTTCAAGACTGACAAAATTTGTGGCAGGGTAGGAGCGTTTGCGAGTCACTGCTCGCATGCACGGTGACTCACAAAAGCTCCTATCCTGCCACAAATGTTGCAGGTCTTTCGGGTGCAACTGGACTCTTGGACCTATTTCACACAAGAGCTGCACTGTGGTCGCGCCTCCCTTTGCCCCGCTTCTATTGGTCAATTTCCCACCCGAAGCCGTGTGGCCGCATTTTGACCCGCGGCTTCGCCTGATTTTCCCCGCGGTTTTGTGATCCTCAAAAAACAGGATCACAAAACCGCGGGGAAAATTGGGTGAAGCCGTGGGTCAAAATGCGGCCGCGCGGCTTTGAGTGGGAAATTGACCGATAGAAGCGGGGCAAAGGGAGGCGCGATGCGACGCAGCTCTTGTGTGAAATCGGTCTTGCTGTTTTCTGGTACTACTTGATACAGCTGTCATGGAGGTCTGGCCCCATTGTTACATAGTCCTTGAACTGCTTATTATAAGTATTTCTCTAAAGAAAGCTGTTTCTGCTTCATGGCAATTTATACCGCAATTAATATTCCTCGTGCCACTGTCAGCAAACGTGTATTTCGCTGTTGAGCATACATGTAGCAATTCTTGTTCATTAATAAAAATTGGTAGGAGATCAGTTAGCATTTGCAGCTAACTTTTTTTGGGGGGGTCTGCTAATAGAAATTGGTAGAAGACAATTTATTTGAAATTGTCATAACCGTATTTTGCTGTTAATCCCAAGGCCTGCGCCAAGAAGGGTTCTATATTACGCGTGGAGAGGTCATACAAACTATATCTGTACTCGTACATTTCTAATTGTCAACATACCTATGTTCAGTTAAGTCTGGCTGTAGATCAGATGAATCTAAGTGACAGGAGCTGACAGCTCTGAGTGTCAGAAGAGCTGGCTCTAACCGGTTCTGGCTGGTTCCTGGCAGAACTAATTAGCCATGACTCAGCATTGGTCCTGATTGGTCAATGCAAGTATAAGTACAGTGATGTACAGTGTAACCCATCTTTTTGTGAATATCTGGTGTCTGCGCAAGCATTTTGTCGGTCTGTGCAATAATTTGGTGGTGGCTTGTGTGAATAAACTGTAAATAGCTTTTACACTAAGCCTATAAGACTCACGTCTTATTTGATACTCTCACACCCATGCACACTCTGCAGGGGGCTAGCACCGCGTAACATCGACACTAGTAACTTTGGGGAAATATATTGGGATCAGTGTTCCCTCTAAGCTGAGTTAGTGTGAGCTAGCTCACAGTTTTTTAGCCTCCAGCTCACACATTTTTGTCTTAGCTCAGGAAGGATGGCTCCAGAGCAAACTAATCAATGCAGCAGCCATATCGCTCACTCACCACTTTGATGCCAGTTGCTCACAAAGTAGAATTTTTGCTCACAAGACTCCACAGCTTAGAGGGAGCCTTGCTTGGGATGGCTTCACCTGAAGTGAAAAGGTAACAATTCCAGCTGCCTTGTGTTATTATTGACATCTCTTAATCTTCTGTTTTGTTTCAGGTTGGTCCATGGCTCGGTGAAACACAGACTGCAGTGGGACTGCCATCCCGAAACCCTTCCATTTGATCCTCTCCTTATAACTTTAGCAGAGGTTGGTCCATCATTCGTCCTTGTCTTTGGCTTCGGCCGCACCATTATTATCTCTGTTCCTTCAAGGCTCGTATTGCGCTGTTTCCAGTGATGTAGGTCACCTATAGCCCGGACCCTCTGGCCGGTTTTGTGGAGAGAAGAAAGTGCGGCGGGGAGCTGGGATTAGCTTTAGAAGGGGAAATTACCGATAATAAGAGGCAAGCTAGTTTTTAGCAGATAATTAGGGATTATCACGTAAGTAGCCCACTGAAGAAAAGCGGAAATCATTGCTGGTTTTAAAGTGCTTAATCAACGGGGAAGCAACCAACAGCTCGCAAGCACTGCTCTGTATAATCTTCTCACCCACCCACCCCCTGTGGGTTTTTTTCAGCGTGCTGGTCTGTGGACAGGAAAGGGCCAAGGCGATTTGGCTCGACCACCCATAAAAACCTTTTTTGCAGAGTTCTCGCAGTCCACAAGGGGTCACATCAAATCTTTCATCCCTGGTTTTGAGTTGTTCTTTTAAAAAACAGAAAAGAGACAGAGTCCAGGAGCACCTTAAAGACTAACAAAATATGTTGCAGGCAATGCTCCCTCTAAGCTGTGTAGTCAGGGTCGCAAAATCGCCTGACTCTCCCTGGTCTGAAAGATGCCAGATTGGCCATCACCAGGGCTAGGGCCTTCTCAGTGGTGGCTCCACACTGGTGGAATGAGCTCCCAGAAAACATCAGGGCTCTGCGGAACCGTCTACAGTTCCGCAGGGCTTGTAAAACGGAGCTCTTCCCCAGGCCTTCGATTAGGAGCCGCCATTGACGAATGAGCTGTCAAAAACTGAACATGTCACGGCCCTTATGTTACTGGCATTAAGAACAACTTTGGATATTGGCCTCCCTACATTGGACCATCTTATAGCAATCACTATCTGCACTTATTTGCACTTTATGTATATTATTTGCTTACATGAAATTTTATAGTATTGCATCTATGCATTGGTGTTTTATTGTATTTTAACTTGTTGTACACAGCCTTGAGCCAGCTTCTGCTGGCTAGGCGGAATATAAATCGAAAGTAATAAAATAATAATAATAAATAATAAAGGGGACACAAATAAATTTGTCTGCTTTATGCAGTAGCCTTCCAAATGACTTGCTTGTCCAGAATATATCAGTATATCAGAATATATCAGTGCTGCAGCCCTGAGGCCTGAAAACAGTAATTGGATCTCCATAAATGTAAGGAAGGAAGGCCTGCTTTTGAGAGTCCTTCCAGGAGAGCAGGACAGAGGAACCAGTGCCAAGTTCCCAACTTCGTGTGACTGGCACCCCCGTCGTCCTGGCTTTGCCGGGCCCCAACTCAGCAGAGCTGCTGACCCTGGGGATCTCAGGGGTGGGTAACGGAGGGGGGCTGCTAGCAACCAGCTACGCCACCAGCTCCTAAGGCCAGGGCAGACTTGTTACCAAATGAAGGTCCGCTCTCAGCGTGCTTCCTTGCCTTTTTCCGTCTAGTGGCAAAGGGGATGAAGCTGTATTTCCCAGTTCCCGCAGGATGTGGCTATTGGTGCCGAGGCACAAACGGAGGACTTGGAAATAGAACTGCTTGTGCCCCATTTATGGATCCACGTAGAAATATTTTGGGAGGGGTTAAAATGAAAATGAGGAATGTCAGTCAAACCAACCATTTTCTTGGGGGCTTGAATGGTTTGGGAATGTAAAACCAGAGGGAAGCGTGCTGTCTCATCTTGTATTTCATGTGCCCACAAGGTGGCGTAAGTGCGTGTGGAATGTCCCTCGTGCAATCTGCAAGGTTGTCTGAGCATTTTTAAAGATGATTTTTTTTAAAAAAAAATACACATAGTTAGGTAGTAAAATAACATTATTCCACTGTGGCAGGGACTGAGAGAGACGAGGCATCCATATACGTTCGTATCCAAGGAGGGCTTTCGAGAGCTGCTTTTGGTGGAAGGAGCGGCTCAGAAAGCGGTCCCGCTGCTGCCTCGCCTCGTTCCCGTGTTAAAGGCTGCTTTGGTATGTCTCTTCTTTTTATTTCATGGTTCACCTGCTCGGGTTCAAAATGATTTCATCTGCCGTCTCCAGCATATGTGTAAAAGGTAAAGGTAAAGGTTCCCTTGCTCGAAAGTCAGTCGAGTCCGACTCTAGGGTTGCAGTGCTCATCTCCGTTTCAAAGCCGAAAAGCCAGTGCTGTCCAAAGACGTTTCCGTGGTCATGTGGCCGGCATGACTAAACAACAAGGCGCACGGAACGCTGTTACCTTCCCACCGAAGTGGTACCTATTTATCTACTTGCAATTTCTTGCTTTCGAACTGCTAGGTTGGCAGGAGGTGGAACTAGAGATGGGAGCTCACTCCATCATGCGGCAACTCTGGTCTTGAACTGCTGAACTACTGATCTTCCACAGCCTGCAGTTCAGCGTCTTAACCACTTGAGCCACCGCACCTCCATAGCATATGTGTGGGAGCAGACAAACGTGTGCAGAGGATGCTGTGCAGAAGCTTCAGCGTGGAGGACCAGACTGTAGCCCGGGCGGGGTGGCATGACTCTGTCCAGACCTGTGTCCTCCTGAATCCTAGACCAAATATTGTGAAACAGATTGTTTTCATTGCACAGTATTAGCTAGCGTGCGAGCGATAATAGAAGAAAACTTTCTGCAGAATTACTACAGTAGACGTTTTTGCAATTTATCTTTGTTGACTCTTAGTTATTTTGTCACAGATGTTGTTTTTGGAATTCTACCTCCTCCCATGATCTCTCTTTTTTAATCTTTACGCAGTGGCTGGACTGGGGATGCTCTAGGCTGATCCTGCCTTAAGCAGGGGGTTGGATTAGATGGCCTGCATGGCCCCTTCCAACTCTGTGATTCTGTGAAAACACAGGACATCAATTTGCCCAAGCACTTCTACTTACCACTTTGCTCTTTGGCTAAATTCCAGGTGTGGTTCTCACCTGGAAAGTCCTTTTGTGGCTTGAGATGCTTGAGGGGATCGCCTCTCCCCGAGGTTGCTGTCTGAAATAACCTCTTCATAAGCCAGCGGCCATTGCAGAGAGGGCTTCCTCTGTGGTGACCCTAATACGGTGGGAACCAGTGCTAGCTCAGGTCTGTCACATGACAGGTCTTGGCCCTTTAAACTGGTTTGATTTGCAGAGGGCTCTGCTGTTCAGTGTGCCCCAGTTTGTTTCTCTTTGGTTTCTCTTTGGTTTCGGCTTTGTATTTTCCTGGTTTCCTGATTTGGTTTTGTGTAGAGATGTAAAATTTCCGGAAATTTTGAAGCTCGGAAAAAAACCCGGTTTTTCCCCAGTTTTTTTCGGGGGGGAAACAGAAATTTTCGGAAAAATTGAAAAAAATGCTACATTAGCATTTCTTTTGTCTTTTCTAGATTGAAAGTCATTCTGTTACTTCAGGAACATAAAATATGACTATGGACATTTTTATTTGGCATGAAATGATCACAACTAGCATATTAAAAATATAGTGTAGCCAAACAATTATTACAAACAGAATACCCACCCACATGCAAAAACAAAACTGAAACCTTTTTATTTTCTTCTGACAATAGCACCTCCTAAAGGAAGAAATGCATCTTGTTCTTGCATTGGAGAGTTCAGTTTGTAACCTAGGACTTGCTTGTCCTCAGTGCACAGAAATTAGAAATGATTTGGAAAATATTTGAACACCTTGTCTTAAAATATTTTATTCATCATGTTAAAATAAAACGTTCCATAATCATTTTTTTTATCTTTTCTTTTCTTTTTTCAATTTTTCGGGGGGGGGGGGAAGGTTTCAGGGGGAAACCCGGGAAAAAACCATCCCCCCCCCCAATTTTCCGGGTTTTTTTCCCTGGGCCTTCATATCTCTAGTTTTGTACTTGATCTGTTTTCTCTGCCTGATCTCGACAGCCCAGGCTTGCCAGATCTCGGAAGCTAAGCAGGGTCCAGTGTGTCTCTCTAAGCTGAGTGAGTGTGAGCTAGCTCACAGTTTTTTAGCCTCCGGCTCACACACTTTTGTCTCTTAGCTCAGGAAGGAGGGCTCCAGAGCAAACTAATTTATGCAGTAGCCAAATCACCTGCTCACAACTTTAATGCCAGCAGTTCACAAAGTAGAATTTTTGCTCATAGCTTAGAGGGAGCATTGGCCCTGGCTAGTGTTTAGACAGGAGACCTCCAAGGAATACCAAGGTCATGACACAGAGGCAGGCAATGGCAACACACCTCTGAATGGTCTCTTGCCTTGAAAACCCTACAGGCACTTTCCCCCACCTTAAAGAGTTATTGTATTGAACACTGAACAAGTCTAGTCAAGAGACTGCCATGTCCCAAGAATGAATGACTATAAGTGATTCAAATAGAAAATTAGTGGATGATTTTTTTTTAACTAGGATCGTGAGTTATGCAGTGTAAAATTCTAGTTGGTATGAGAATAGAGAGAATCCATATTTTATCTGTGTGCAACCAAATTGCTTGATGAAATGTGATGTGATGAGAAAACAGTTGTAATGTTGGTGTATGTTTGTTCTTGTTTAGGTGTATGTGTATCTACTAAGCATCAAAACTTAATAAATATATTATTAAAAAAAGAGAGACTGCCATGTCCCTTAGCACGTAACTGGCTATAACCAGTCCCTCTCCCCTTTTTCAAAAGGTCCATTCAGATGGGGAAGTATTTGAAAGAGGGCTGACGGCCTTGGTACAGCTGAGTGCTGTGGTTGGCCCTGCGCTCAACGACCATCTCAAACACCTGCTTTCAAGTGTGAGTACGATGACATGTAGCACTTGCATTTCTCCCAGGGCTTTGCAAAGCATGTGGGGTTGGCATCTGGGCACCGTTGGATCAGAACTGATGTACACAACTTAGTGTGTGTGTGTAGTTGCAACTGTTCTGTGAGTGTACATTTTATTCTGCTGGCCTATGACCATAATAAATGATTGGTAGATTGACGGGTTGACATACCCAATTTAAGTCCCACCAAGCCAGTAGATCCCAGTAGCCATGTACTTGACAGTCACTGCCTCTGCCACCACCTGGTCTCTGCAGTCCCATGCAGCCTTATTGTCCTCCTGGGGCTGCATGGGAGCAAGCTGGTGAGGCCTGGACTAGACGCAGATCCTTCCAGTCCTCCAAACGTATGGTGTAAAGCAGGGGTGTCAAACTCATTTTCTGTGAGGGCCAGATCTGACATAAATGTCACTTTGTGTGCCATAAAACGTAATGCCAGGCACTGCAGCTAGTAAACTCTGAGTTGGTGTGTCCTCACTGCAAGGCCCCGTGGGCTGGGAGGGGGTGCAAAGGAAAACCCACACGGGCGGAATGGAGAGCCAGCGGTGCAGCACTGGGCGGACGCTCCCACGCTGCTTGACCGCAGGAGATGAGGTTGTTTCCACCGTGCTGAAGCCACGATCAGAGTGGCCCCTCCCACTCCCCCCCCCAGCAGTCTCCTGTTCCCTCCCTGCTGGCCCCCAGGTGTTATGTTTGACACCCCCAGTGTAAAGGATTGCCCATTATCAGTCAGGGTCATCAGGGCTTCATCTATCTTCCAACAGACCTTTCGGTAGATAAATATGATGGTTTGAAATGTAAAAACCTGCCGTGTATTTTCGTCTCACAACAGCTTTCCAAGAGACAGATGAGCAAGAAGTTCAAAGAGCAGACGACAGACGCTCTGCAGAAGTTGGAGCAGTACGGAGGGAAGGTGAGCCACGTCGGTGGGCCTGGCCTCCACAGGAGAGCTGGAGTGAAATGGTTCCTCCTGTCCTCCGGTCTCTTTAGTACCCTGTAGTGTCCTCCACCATGGCATGATACGATTTGAGGTCTTCAGGGTTTGGTAGGTCAGTGAAAACACCTCCTCTAGGTGTGCTTGGAGTAAAAGGGATGGATTTAGTGCTAGGAAAGGGGTTGAGAATAAGATGGTCAGTATCCTAATATCTTTATATCAATCTCTGATGCGTCAGCATTTGAAGTTCCGGTCACTGGCTGCCAAAATGAAACCGTAGCGCCGGGGAAGGTTCGGAAGAGGGTAACCAATATGATCACTGGGACACCTCCCCTCTAACAGAAGACACTGAAGCTTTTTAATTTCCTTCTCTGTCAATCTTCCCCCTATCGCTGTTTCTCCCCACCGTCCCTTTCTACCTTGTCTTTCTTTTGGGCCAGCCTGCAGCCAAACACCCTCTGGCACTGCCTTCCTTGCCTCTCCTTTCTCCCCTCACCCCACCCCCATCCTCACCACTCTTACCTCCCTGTCCCATCGTGGGACTCTGCTCGTCTCCCCGCCCAAATCTTTGGTGCTCTGTCTGGCTGCCCCCCCACCTCCCCATTCCAAAGTCTGGCTGCTCTTCCACTCTGTAGAGGGAAAAAAGATAGAGTTGTAAAATTTCCGGAAATTTTGAAGCTCGGAAAAAAACTCGTTTTTTTCCAGTTTTTTTGGGGGGGGGGGGAAATGGGAATTTTTGGAAAAATTGAAAAAAATGCTACATTAGCATTTCTTTTGTCTTTTCTAGATTGAAAGTCTTTCTGTTACTTTAGGAACATAAAATATGACTATGGACATTTTTATTTGGCATGAAATTATCACAACTAGCATATTAAAAATGTAGTGTATCCAAACAGTTATTACAAACAGAATACCCACCCACACGCAAAAACAAAACTGAAACCTTTTTCTTTTCTTCTGACAATAGCACCTCCTAAAGGAAGAAATGCATCTTGTTCTTGCATTGGGGAGTTCAGTTTGTAGCCTAGGACTTGCTTGTCCTCAGTGCACAGAAATTAGATCAATCTGATGCCATATATATATGGCATATATTTCTACATATTTAGAAATGATTTTGAAAATATTTGAACACCTTGTCTTAAAATATTTTATTCATCATGTTTAAAATAAAACATTCCATAATCAATTTTTAATCTTTTCTTTTTTCAATTTTTCCAATTTTTCGGAAAAAAACATTTTTTCCCCGAATTTTCCCGGTTTTTTTCTGGGCCTTCACATCTCTAGTCTCTAGATGTGGCCGTGCTTGCCCCGGCTTTGGTGGGATCCGCAGCACAACTCTGCGGCACTGGTCTTCTTGAGGGCAACAGCAGCAGTGCTGGGCCTCAGGGCTGCAGCTGTGATGCCAGTTTGGTGCAGTGGTTAGGAGCACGGACTCTAATCTGGGAGAACCGGGTTTGATTCCCCACTCCTCCACTTGCACCTGCTGGATGACCTTGGGCAAGCCATAGTTCTGTCAGAGCTGTTCTCTCAAGGATAATTCTGGAAAGAGCTCTCTCAGTCCCGCCTACCTCCCAGGGTGTCTGTTGTGGGGAGGGGGAGGGAAAGTAGTCTGTAAGCCTCTGAGACTCCTTTGGATAGTGAAGGGCAGGGTATACATCCAATCTCTTGTCTTCTTCTTCTCTTCTTAATGTGCCTACAGCATCTTTCCCTCACAGCAGAAGCATTCTCTGCACATGCACAGACATCATTTCTCTATTTTGGAGGATTCACACACACTCCTTCAATTTTCTCCCCCGTTTTCAGATTTTTCTGCAAACCTGGGGGGGGGGGTTCCCCCAAGTTTGTAGAAAAGTCTTTATTTTGTGTGAGTGGACATGATCCACAGGTCAGCCCCAGGTTCACTATTATGTATGAGATAATGCAGTTTATTGAGGGATTTAGTACAATAGTTTGGGGGGGGGTGCTTATCCTAAACAAGGAAATACCAGCAAGTACTAAATCAAGACACAGATAAATAGCACATTTCTTATCCAAGCTAATAATATCACAAACGGCAACTACCAAAGATCAATCAGAGCTACTGGAGTTTGGAGCCGTAGTTACCTTTAAGCTAAAGGTGCAAATGTGGGGGAAATGGGGTAACCGGAGAAGTGGGATATGTTGGTACACGGTAGTCCAGTCTTCTAGATGGGAGGCCTACCTTGCAGAGAGGAGCAAAATGCCAGCTCTCTGCGTGGCGCAGTGTGGGTTAGAAAGTAAAGAGAGAGCGATCAAGATGGGGAGCAAAGATACACCTTTCCTGGTCTGCATAGAGGTCAGATGAAAGAAGGAAGGATCCAGGGTGTTGGGAGCCAAGTTGCAGTCCAGTTTGTAGCAAGCATCAGACTCAAATTACTGGCTGTAAAGCCAGACCAGTTTTAGGCACACAGGAACCAGAAGATTGCAACAGACTTAGGAGTTGGGTAGTTTATGGGGGGAGAACTAGGGAACGGGCAGAGTTATCAGGGAAGGGCAACACAGCCCCCCCCGGGAACCCGGGTCTTCACCAGAAATAGGGGTTCACAAATCACAATAGCCTTCTCAGGCTTCATCGCAGGATGTCTGGTGTTCCTTTTTTCCGGGGACTGTAGCTTGAGAGCTTGTTTCCAAAGGTATCTCAAGATGACAGGCATGGCAAACGATATGACTAACTGAAAACCTAATCTCACCACAACAGGGTGAAGTATTACCCTGAAAGCTCCTGTGGTCATAGGGGACCAACTGAGTAAAGTTTCCCACCATGAATGAGCCGCAACAATTTTATCTTAGCTGAGAAGTCCCACTCCTAAAATAGCCTTCTGTTCCGTTTACTTGTGTGAGTGTTAAGTGCGGTCAAGTTGCTTCTGACTCACGGCAATCCTGTGAATTAATGTCCTTCAAAATGTCCTGTCATTAACAGCCTTGCCCAGGTCTTGCAAAGTGAGGGCCCTTGTGGCTTCCTTGACTGCCTCAGTCCATCTCCGGTCAGGTCTTCCTCTTTCCCGGCTGCCTTCAACTTTTCCTAGCATGATTGTCTTCTCCATGGATTCTCATCTTCTCTTAATGTGACCAAAGTGCGATAGCCTCAGTTGAGTCATTTTAGCTTCCAGGGAGAATTCAAGCTCAATTTGGTCTCTAGAATTCATTTGTCTTTTTGGTGGTCCCCGGTATCCATAAAACTTTCCTCCCAAATTTCAAGCCCATACATAGTGATGGGGAATACTGTGGCACGACTTGACTTGATCTTGGTCACCAGTGACACATTGAGGATCTTTCCTGGCTCTTTCATGGCTGCCATTCCCAGTCTCAGTCTCCTCCTCATTTCTTGGTTGCAGTCTCCCGTTTGGTTGACGAGGGAGCCAAGGAATAGACAATCTTAGCTTCGAGTAACTGCTGTTCCAAAGAGGGCTGAGTTAAAAGCTTCTTAGTTCTAAACCTCCTCCTAAAGGAACAGGACAAACATTTTATATAGACCAGTAAGACTAGAGGGAGCTGCAGTGGCTCAAGTGGTCAAGACGCTGAACTGCAGGCTGTGGAAGGTCGGTAGTTCAGCAGTTCGAGACCCGAGTGTGCCGCATGATGGAGTGAGCTCCCGTCTCTAGTTCCAGCTCCTGCCAACCTAGCAGTTCGAAAGCAAGACATTGCAAGTAGATAAATAGGTACCACTTCAGTGGGAAGGTAACAGCGTTCCGTGCGCCTTGGCGTTTAGTCATGCCGGCCACATGACCACGGAAACGTCTTCGGACAGCGCTGGCTCTTCGGCTTTGAAACAGAGATGAGCACTGCAACCCTAGAGTCGGATTCGACTGGCTTTCGAGCAAGGGAACCTTTACCTTTACCTTTTTAAGACTAGATTGATGATGAGACAAAGGGATGCATTGTTTGTTTTTACAAAATGGCACAGAGATTTCAAATATCTGCCTGTCCAACATGCTTTGTACACATGACTATTTTGCTTCTTTCTGGTGGCAAAGTAGTATTCCTAGTATCAGGGGAGTGGGGGGAGAGCACCATTTCTCGTGTTTATCATTGTACATCAGTTGTGATTTGAGGTAAAAGTACTTACCGTGTTCAATTCTCTTTTTATCACCAGGAAAGCTTGGCTGTTATAAAATCTAAAATTCCAACTTATTGTTCAATTGCCTCCTGAAGAGAGGTGTGAAGAAGAATTTATTTTGGAACTGTCTGTTTTCTTGTGACTACGAGACACGGTTCTGTCATTTCTCGGGGCGACAAGGAACGATCAAGGCTCACGTGAAGAGTAAATACGTTCAAGGAGCGTAATTATGGAAAGCGCCAGCAATGGTATAATCTTTGCTGTTCAGTACTTCTAGCAGGAGTTGCAAATGAGCTCATCTGGTTTATTAGATGGGATAATGGAGTCGTGTGTCTTTGTCATATGCAACTATCCAGAAAATAGAGATATTTGCTGTGTAGGTACGTGTTTTTTAATTATGGGATATGTTTACTAAATGTGATACATTAAACACTGAGGGTTTGATCCAGCTCAAGTGAAGTACTATTAAGACTTACAGATTCAGTAGAAGAGTGCCAATAAGCACTTATCTTATCAAATAGGTCAAAGTCACTTGAAAGTGCTTGAATCTGTGTGGGTTGTGTCACACTTAATTTATTTTGAAGCCGAAACTCCTTGCCTAAGGCTCGGAGAGAAATGTATTTTTATACTGTCAGATGAGAGAAAGATTTATTTCCCTAAGGATTAGAAAAATGTATAAAGTGTGTTAAACTTAGCGCAAACACTTCAAGGTACCCACTCTGTTTTACGTTAATGTGCTAAAGCTGCTTCGCTCTTTCAATTGAAGATATGGTGCGATTTCAAGTGTTAAAAGATAAAACTCAGGAATCTAACAAGTGCTTCACTGAGTATTAAACTTTTGCATAATAAACTTCTTTTGTGACTCCAAAAAATGTCTTGGGAGGCAGGGGCAGAGAAAACCCCAGACTTGCTGCATTTGTATGCTTTTATTTTCTTATAAAATGTGCACATTTACTTTCACAGCTGTCCTACAGCAAGTTTCACCTGTACATGTGTCGCCCTACGCGTGTTCCTACACTGGCGATAACAGAGCAGCCTTCAACCACCCTCTCTCGTCTGTATCTATCTACACCAGAGCAGATGCCTAGATTTCTGTTTGCAAACACAGTTGGCAGAATTTGGTGTATTCCCGTAAGCCCTTCCGATCCTTCATGCAGAAATGTCATCGTTAAGATCGGCATATGTCCTGGACCAGTAATAACAGGCTTTTAAACAGAGATGTAGTAATTAATAATGCTTGGATTAGGTTGGAAAAACATGAATCTTCAATCAGGAAACTGGCAGGGCAGAGAGGCAGGCGAATGAATTGGCTGGCATTTCTCTGCTCCCCTCCTTTCCCTTGCCCTTCTCTCTCTCTCTCTCTCTCTCTCTCTCTCTCTCTCTCTCTCTCTCTCAGCCTCTGGCCTTCACAACATGTATTCATGTGCTGAGTTGTTCCCACTCCTTTCCGACGGGAGTTGTCTGTCTGTGGCTAAGTCAGCCTGGCCAACCCCTGTCCCTTGCACGGCCAGCTTCCCCCGCCCAGAGCCTTCCTTCTATGCTCAATGACGATGGATGCTAGCCAGTTTTTAAATAAATATTTATTTCCCAAACGTGTTTGGAGAATATCCTGGAAGGAAAAAAAAAAATTCAGGACTCTGCTGATGCTAAGCAGTTTAGTGTGAGGCGTTAACTACATAAGTATCCCGAAGCAACGGACTTTGGAAGCTTAAAACAACATTTCCATTTAGCGGCAATTAGCTCACCAAATTAAGAACCAAATAGCACTCTGATTTGTCTCGCTTTTAAATAAAGAGGAAGTCGTTTAAGACTCCCGTAAAGTTATGTATATACAGGTAGTTTTGCAGAGAGAAGATGTTTGCATTAGGCAACTAGCAAATCACCTGGATCATTTAAAATGTTTACTATAAAAGAACATTTGTCTATAAAATGAGTGATCATGAATTTAAAAAAATGCAGATCACTGCACTGAGAAACAATGGGCACAAGCCATCTCCCTGTGGGCAGTACCTGTGTAAGCCCTCTGTGTAGCAGGGCATTATGGGATGTGGAAGGCCCAGGCACACCTTGATCTGTCCCACCTCCTCTGCCTCTTTCCTGCTTGAGTGAAGAACATGAGCTCTGGAAAAGGCATGCAGAAGTATCCTCGTGCCTGAAGTCGTTGATAGGGTGGCGGCGCTGGTACGGAATAGGAGGAAGAAAGAAACGACTTCTTGTGCCATATAAAGACCCTACCCCCTTGCCAGAAAGGATCGTGCCCAGCATAGAACTCACGGTAGGGGACTTGTGGGAAACAGTTCTTAAAAAAAGAATAAAATGAAAATAAAGTGTTTAAATTCTAAAAACTCATCTGATAGAAATGAACAAAAATTGAGTCCAGTGGCACCTTTAAGACCAACACCTTTAAGTGGCACCTTTAAGACTTTGTTGGTCTTAAAGGTGCCGCTGGATTCAAACTTTGTTCTCTTGCTTCAGACCAACACGACTACCCATCTGAATCTATCCTGATAGAAATAAGTAGGACACTCTGCCTCTTCCATCTCCCTCTCTGTCTCTCAAACGTCTTATCAAGGTTGGGATGGCAACCGTTGCAGTTTTCATACCATTTTTCTTTGGCCCGTTCTCCAAATCCAGTGAAGTTTAAAGAACATCTACAAGAGCGTAGTTTAAAAGAGGACTGTTTCATCTCAACTAGTGGGAAAAATATAGTCTCGTCACAGAGGCTTTTATTAAACAAAGCTTATTTGCATTATACACATCTCTGTGTAAAGCTGAGCAATCCCGTTTTATGGTTCAGAGTGGGAACACCTGGTATGGAGTCGCGGCTGCTGAATTGTTCAATAGTGTCCATTAAATGGAAAGAACTGCGCGGAGTTAAATCACATTTTCAAAGAGCTGCATGGACTGCATGATGTTTTCATCCTGTAAAGAAAAAGACGGTGTCTCATTACCTGAGAGAGAGTTCAAATCTGAAGGTTTAAAACAGAAACGTTGCCACCAGTGTTCCCTCTAAGCTGAGTTAGTGTGAGCTAGCTCACAGTTTTTTAGCCTCTGGCTCACACACTTTTGTCTTCGCTCAGGAAGGATGGCTCCAGAGCAAACTAATTTGTGCAGCAACCAAATGGCTCGCTCACAACTTTAATGCCAGGAGCTCACAAAGTAGAATTTGTGCTCACAAGACTCCACAGCTTAGAGGGAGCATTGGTTGGGAGCAGTGTTCCCTCTAAGCTGAGTTAGTGTGAGCTAGCTCAGAGTTTTTTAGCCTCCGGCTCACACATTTTTGACTCAGCTCAGGAAAGATGGCTCCAGAGCAAACTAATGTAGGCAGTAGCCGAATCGCTCACTCACAACTTTAAGGCCAGCAGCTAGCAAGGTAGAATTTTTGCTCACAGGACTCCACAGCTTAGAGGGAACATTGGTTGGGAGTGGGATGGTATTTCAAAACGAAGTCAAAATCCCCCCCCCCCCGAAGATTGGGGGAGAGTTGAGCACACATGACTAGCATGAAAAGTTCCCCTCGCCATGGACATACTTTGCTGCAAGCCGGGTTGTTGTTGTTTTTTAATTAACACTTTCAAAGTCTAGCTGTAGAGGGGGGGGGAGAGATCTAGAGCCTCGTTGCTTTCCCCCTCCTGCAGGGACGATAGCAGCTGGGGAGTTTGGGAGCATAAACTGCCTTAAGCAGCTAGAAGGAGCCCCTCCCTCTACCTGCGGGCACTCCCATGTCAGCTTTTTGCTTGCAAAGGGGGGGGGTGAGTGATGGGAAAGGCGTGTGCAACAGCACATAATACATAATTTGGACTATAAAATGCTGTGTTCTCCTCCTCCTAGTTGGAGTCCCGTATTCTTTTCCCTCCCCCAAGTTCCCCAGGAGCTGGATCTGTGCTCTTGCTCTTTACCCCGGTGTGGCTTGAGATGAGCTCCCCTCTCCAAGGGAGATCTGCCAGGCAACCTTTGGACAAACCTGGTAAAGGCAGGGCTGGGTGCCGCTATATACAGGGAGCAATCCTGAGCAGGTCTACTCAGAAGTTCATCCTGTGTTATCCAATGGAGCTTACTTCCAGGAAAGCGTGCTTAGGGTTGCAGCCATTATTGGTTGAAAAAGCCGCCGCAGCCATTTTAGTGGTAAATTTCAGGGCTCTTTTTGTAGCAGGGACTCCTTTGCATATTAGGCGACGCACCCCTCATGTAGCCAATCCTCCAAGAGCTTACAGAGCTCTTCTGACAGGGGCTACTGTAAGCTCTTGGAGGATTGACTACATGAGGGGTGTGTCGCCTAATATGCAAAGGAGTTCCTGCTACAAAACGAGCCCTGCATTCTACATCCTATATGTTTCTGCCTTTGGCTTCCTCTGCCTCTCTGCATATAACTGTCAGCTATGCTGCCATGATGTTTGTGGGCGAGAGTGCAGCTGCTTGACCTGTGTACCAACTGATGCCACATTCCTTTGTCCTTGCTTATCTATGACCTTACTAGCTAGCTGTCTATGTAGCATCTCCCTATCTATTACCCGTGGGATAGGTTTTGATTCCCAGCTTTGGCTGTAACGGCCTGGGGCCCCATTCTCCCGCGCGGGAGTCAGGCCGATTGGCCTAGGAGTGGGGGGGGGGGGGGCATACGAATACCCTATATCCTGTTATGCTTGTAGGAAAGTAGCCATTCCTAACAGTGACCATGTTACTGCCTCTATCGCTCTTGCAATGAAGTATAACCTTATGTTAAGCGTGTATTCCTTTGTTAGGCTGTGGAACCTGACAATAACTTCAGGGAAAAGCAAGTAGGCCGTGAATGATGGGGCAGAACAGTTCTCAGCAGCAGGAGAGTGGCAGAGGAGCCCTGGGCAGAGACTGACATTAAGCAGGGGTCCAAGAGCACCCCCAAAGACGAACTATGTTTATAGCAGCACACGCTTTCCCAAATCTGTGAGATCTAGGAAAGATTATCAAGACTGGAGGAGGAGGAGGAGGAGGAGGAGGAGGATATATTCTCCACCCTTCACTCGGAGTATCAGAGTGGCTTACAATCCCCTTCCTCTCCCCACAACAGACACCCTGTGAGGTAGGCGTGGCTGAGAGAGCTCTGAGAGAACTGCTCGTGAGAGAACAGCTCTGAGAGAACTGTGACTGACCCAAGGTCACCCAGCTGGCTGCATGTGAAGGAGTGGGGAATCAAACCCAGTTCTCCAGATTAAAATCCGCTGCTCTTAATCGTTACACCAAAATGGCTCTCACAGGTTTTCATAGATCAACACGGCAACACTAATAGTACTGGAGGAGGGTGCAGTATTGTGCATGTATTGGCAGTCTTTACGCAGCACCCGGACAAACCCTCGTCAGAGATGCTCTAGGCTGATCCTGCATTGAGAAGGGGGTTGGACTAGATGGCCTGTAGGGCCCCTCCCAACTCTGTGATTCTGTGGTTCTAGAGGTTTTGGTACTTCATCCTCACATTCAGACAGGGGCAAGACCACAACCAGAACAACAGCTGAAAAGTGACCACCAACGACTCACTTTTTGGCAGCTTTCAATGAATTCGTCCATAGTAACGACACCGTCCTTGTTTTTGTCCATTTTCTGCCAAAGAAGAAATGTTGCATAAGTCAGGAGGGCCTCGTGTTAAGACTGTCTCCTTGCATTGCCCTTGAAAAACAGGGGCTACGTTCAGATGGGTAACAGACACAAACTAATGGAGCTCCCTGCAATGATGGCTAAGACCCATCCCTCTCTTGCCTATATGTTATATCTGACATACAAAAATATATATCACTGTGTACAATAAATATGGAGCTGCGGTGGCTCAAGTGGTTAAGACGCTGAACTGCAGGCTGTGGAAGGTCGGTAGTTCAGCAGTTTGAGACCCGGGTGCCGCATGACGGAGTGAGCTCCCGTCTCTAGTTCCAGCTCCTACAACCTAGCAATTCAAAAGCAAGAAATTGCAAGTAGATAAATAGGTACCACTTCAGTGGGAAGGTAACAGCGTTCCGTGTGCCTTGGTGTTTAGTCATGCCGGCCACATGACCACGGAAACTTCTTCGGACAGCGCTGGCTCTTCGGCTTTGAAATGGAGATGAGCACCGCAACCCTAGAGTCGGATTCGACTGGCTTTCAAGCAAGGGAACCTTTGCCTTTTTTACAATAAATATATGTTTATAGTGAAATGATTTTTTGCATTATTCTTTTTCTTTTTATATTTTTTTCAATATTGTTGTCTAAATATTGGTATCAAATATTATCAAAAATAGGTTTCACCCAAACAATACATCAAGTGCAGGTTTACATTCAGATAGCACCTTGTCAATAATTGTCAGTAACACTATCACTAGTCCCATGGGACTCTAGTAATTTACCCGTTTCAAATGAATCTTTTCAAGGGCTGTGATGTTTACATAAAGGACATAAGGCGCAATAATTTTTCTTTGTGAGCACAAAAGCTCTTCAGATATCAGCATTGTCTAGGGTCCCATCAGAACCCTTGCAGCAAACATAATGACCTATCCAAGACAGCATATCTTTCAAATTCGATCTGGGCAAACGGCAGAATTCTAGATTCAAGTCAAAGGCTTGGGTACACTTCTCGCCAACCTCTGTGGTGGAGGCTTTTCTCCACTGCAAGGCTTGCTTTTTGTGCCGCTAGCATTTCTGCTTGTGTAAGACTCCTTGGAAAAAACTGATCCTGCAAACCCAGAAGGACCAGTGACAGAATGCCAGCACTACAATGGAGAAAAACCTCTGCAGTGGCTGGAGGGAAGCATGAAGGGAACGATGCCCTTGGATCAAAGCCTGGGTCCCCATATATTATAGCGGTGGGTGGCCAAACTTGCTCAACGTAAGAGCCACATAGAATAAACGTCAGACGTCTAGGAAGCTGCAAGACATGATTACGTTTTTACTTGGAACTATGCAAATGTTGCTTTTTAATAACATTAAATGAGACTACCGAAAATAATAACAAAAGCAGTAAAAGCAGATGTTGATAATGATATTTATTTGTACAATGCTGTTTGTTTGCTAATGATATATTAGCTTCCCCAGCCGCCCTGCCAGGATATGTGTGAAAGAGCCGCATGCGCCCCCCCCCCCCGAGCCACAGTTTGGCCGCCCCTGTATTATACCCAGGGCTATTTTTGGGCAGGAACGCAGAGGAACGGAGTTCCGGCTGGCTCCTGAGTTGGCCATGCCCAGCAGGAACTCATTAGCATAATAGGCCACACCTAACAGCAGAAACTCATTAGGAAAAAATAGGGGTCAGGGGCAAGGAAGAACTTTGTCAAGGAAACTAAGGACACCTAATAAGAGCCACCAGTTTCGTAACTGTCACAAAGCAAGACTTCAATGTGATGTTTCTGAGATCATCTTTTTTCTTTACTAATTTACCTACTTGAAAAAATGTTTCCACGTGTTGCCTGGGTGCATCCTCCTTGAGAACAGGATAAGTGCATTTCCCCATCATATCATATATGGCTTTCATAATATCAAGCATTTCCTGTGGAGCAAAAAAGAAAAACACATTGCTTTTTGATATCTTTCAACCTAGCCTAATATGGGCCTTTCCCACATTTTTGTGTGCTCCTGCTGCTCAAGGAGGGGGTTCTGTTACACATGTGTCTTGCTTCTTCAAATAGTCTATTCAATACTACATCGCTTTATATCTGGCATTGCAACCTACAGTTTAAATCAGCAGGGAGATATGCTGGACATAAAGCAATGTAATATCGAATAGGCCACTAGAGGGAGCAAAACGCATGTGGAATAGGGGGAAAATACCCTGAAGCAGCATGAACACACAAGCAAGGAAAATGAGAATGCAGAAAAGCCCTCTTGCCGAAGAGGAGGGGAGATTCTGGGATACCCCGAGCATCTTTGAGGAAGGGCAGAATAAAAACAGTGACCTTTTTTCTGTAAAAAGTTGCATTGAACTCCACCAATTCCCCCTTCAGACCTTGGAGAGCCCCCGCCCTCTCCAAAAGGTGCCACTATTCCACCCTGGTGAGTATCACCCCACCCCCTAAAAATGCCCTGAATAAATATATAATTGATAGATTTGTTACCATTAAACCACAGTTTGGGTGAACATCAGAAGCCCCGTCAGCCTAGAACTGAAAACTCCCCAGAACACAATTTTCAAAATAATTATGAGTCAGCTGCTAGGTGGTTAAATCTGCCAGCTGTCTCTTGTGCTGGACCAAGGACTGATTTTTGTTTGTTTGTTTGTTTAATGTAGAAACCTTGAGGATAGTGCAAAGGGGCACATATGCTCTGATCCATAATACATGTGTTTCACCAAAAACTCTCCAGTGTCTTTCAGGAGCAATATTAGAAATGGTCCCCAGGAACCCAAATTTTGGTGCGAGGGGGTGAATGCATCATTGCTTTTTCCAAAAAATCATATTTGCAAACGTTTCCCCTTATTTGTGGAGATCTTTAGATGCATTGATAGTAGGGCCTTAATTATTTTTTTTAAATAAACGGAAGACACTGTTGGACAAAGTCGAGTATATGGAGACAAATTCAGGGGTCTTTTTGTGCCAGAGCGCTGCTCCGGCAGCCCAGGAGCCGGCGCAAATGGTGGCGCGGCAAGACCCGCCCCCAGTTGCCTGCGCCGAAGCACTGGGGCCGGGGGAAGCCCGGAGATCCCCGCAGCCGGGTACCCTGGGCCCGTGGTGGAGCGCTGGTGCCGGGGGAGCCCTGAGAGCCCCGCAGCTGGGTCCCCTGGGCCCACGCAGGAGCGCTGGGGCTGGGGAAAGCTCGGAGATCTCCGCAGCCGGGTCCCCCGGGCCCACGCAGGAGCACTGGGGCCAGGGGAAGCCTGGAGAGCCCCGCACCCAGGTTCGCCAGGCCCGCGCCAGAGCACTGGGGCCGGGGGAAGCCCAGAGATCCCCGCAGCCAGGTCCCCCATGCCGAAGCAGTAAGTAAGGGATCGGGGTGGGTGGGGGTGGCGGGGGCTTGATGGGGTGGGAGAGCCTCCCTTCCTCCCTCCCGCCATATGTTTTCCATCTTTCCCTCCTTTCCTCTTCTTTCCCTCCTTTTCTTTCTCGCTTTCCCTTCTCTTCCTTCCTTCTTTCCTTTCCCTCCTTCTTTCCTTCTCTTTCTTTCCCTCTTTCCTTCTCTCTTTTTATTCCCTCTGTCCTTCCTTTCCTTCCTTCTTTCCTTCTCTTTCCTTCCTTCTTTCCTTCTCTCTACTCACTCTCTTTCCTTCCCTCTTTCCTCCTTCTGTGGCCCAACTCTACTGAGAAACTTTAAACCCCTTCTCTCTTCGCTCCCCCCCCCCACAGGCCAGCTGGGGAAGGGAAGGGGAGGCTTTTGAAGATGCCTCCCCCCCTTTTGCTTCCCCTTCTGACATCACTTCTGGTGATTTCAGGGGTTGTGGCATATGCTAATAGCCTAGTACGAAAAGCCCCCTGGAGACAATGAGGGTAAACAACATTTCACATCTGCCAATTCAAGGTCACACAGCCTCTTGGGAATTCAGCCTAGCCTTCCCTTTCCTGTGTTCTCACTTAAATTCAGCAGGCATTTTCTCAGGGGGAGCTTTCAAACATATAACTCATACAGACCCCACATACTTGCAGACATTAGTGAAACAGGTTAGGAACCCCTCACCACTTGATCATCGAGATTACATAAACTGGCCCCATTTGTGTGTCAGGGTGGTGGTGCAGCAGCGTGCAGTTATGACCAACAGCACTTAAATGATGAAGCAAGTATTCATTTACCTAATTATCTTTCTGGATGGATTTCTCACTCATAGATCAGTTTTACATTTGGGCTTTTTGGCGTTCTCATTTTCCTCACTTGTAAGTTCCTGTCCTGGGGGGGGGGTCCTTTTGATGGATGCTTTGCTCCCTCTAGTGGTTGATTCAGTATTACAGCGGTTTATGTCTGGCATATTTCCCTGCAGTGGTGCTTGCTGACATTCAAATCACAGTGACTGAAAGGAACTCCTTACCTCTTTTGTTATATAACCATCCTTATTTATGTCATATAAATTAAAAGCCCAGTTAAGTTTTTCTTGCACTGTCCCCCGGAGCAAAATAGAAAGTCCCATAACAAAATCCTGGAAAAAAGACAAAGGACATTTTAGGGAGATTTTTTTCTCAGGTGGGGGTGCTTTATTGCAGTGACTTCAGAATAATAATGCATGTTTTAAGGCTGGGGAAAATAGAAAGCACAGAACTCCCTGTTATTGTGAGCAAAACACTTTTTTTCACTCTTTCATTGTTATTTCAACCTCTCTCTTTAGAACTGGAAGAAACGAAAAGCTAAAGGTGATAGCTCAATCAACTTGAGTGACTTCTAAGACCCATTGATTCCAAATGGAGATAGTTACTCCCCAACAGAAATCAGTTAGTGGTGTGAAACTTTGGCTGGATCATGCACATCAAGATCAAGAAAACCATATACATGTTTGACACTTTTTCTGCATAAGTTATTGACATTGATTTATCACTGAAACCAATGGAACTATTCCAGTGTGTATGTATGTTCACTCCACTATGCATGTATGTCATATAAATGTATACACATTGCAACTGGCTTTTGGCAACTCCAGCAAGTTAAGAGAGGCGGCTTGCGATTGCTTTTGTCGGCAGAATCTTACTTGGTGATCTCCCATATTTAGCTTCTGAGATCTGATGAGATGAGGCTATACCATACCATTCCACATCTCCTACAACCACTACAAGCATAAAATTTAAAAAAATACCAAACTTGCTACAAGTCCAGGTTGTAAAATTTCTGTAAATTTTGACGCTCAGAAAAAAACCCCGTTTTTTCCCCAGTTTTTTTCGGGGGGAAATGGAAATTTTCGGAAAAATTGAAAAAAATGCTACATTAGCGTTTCTTTTGTCTTTTCTAGATTGAAAGTCATTCTGTTACTTTAGAAACATAAAATATGACTATGGACATTTTTACTTGGCATGAAATTATCACAACTAGCATATTAAAAATATAGTGTAACCACATGCAAAAACAAAACTGAAACCTTTTTATTTTCTTCTGACAATAGCACCTCCTAAAGGAAGAAATGCATCTTGTTCTTGCATTGGAGGGTTCAGTTTGGAACCTAGGACTTGCTTGTCCACAGTGCACAGAAATTAGATCAATCTGATACCATATATGTATATATTTTAGAAATGATTTGGAAAATATTTGAACACCTTGTCTTAAAATATTTTATTCATCATGTTTAAAATAAAACGTTCCATAATCAATTTCTTTTCTTTTTTCAATTTTTCCAATTTTTCGGAAAAAAACACCAAAAAAGGCTTCAGGGGGAAAAAACGGGGAAAAAACGTTTTTTCCCCGAATTTTTCCGTTTTTTTCCCGGGCCTTCACATCTCTAGTCCAGGTCATAGCTGACATTCCTCTGGCTGGTTTTCCTAGTTGGGGTGCATGTGTGTTTTGGCTACCGCCATTGTGAAGATTAAAAATCCTGATATTTTTTATTTATTTATTTATTTTATTCAATTTATACCCTGCCCTCCCCACCAACTAATCTACCTGACCTTGGGCGAGATGGTAAGTTAGTTTCCGCTTGCACTTTTGTGCTTACCTGTGAGCGAGAAACTCCATGAATGTGTGTGTGTGTGTGTGTGTGTTAAGTGCTGTCATCACTCCTGACTTATGGCAACCCTATAAATGAATGACCTCTAAAGCTTCCTATCATTAACAGCCTTGCTTGAGTCTGGCAAACTGAGGGTCACGGCTTCCTTGACGGAGTCAATCCATCTCATGTTGGGTCTTCCTTTTTTCCTGCTGCCTTCCACTTTTCCTGGCATGATTGTCTTTTCCAGTGACTCCTGTCTTCTCATCATGTGACCAAAGTACGAGAGCCTCAGTTGAGTCACCTGAGCTTCTAGGGAAAGTTCCGGCTTGATTTGATCTACAATCCCCTTATTTGTCTTTTTTGGCAGTCCACACTGTCCATAAAACTCTCCTCCGACGCCACATTTGAAATTAACCAACTTTCTTCCAGTCAGCTTTCTTCGTTGTCCAACTTTCACACCCATACACAGCAATTACCTTGATTCTGGCTGCCAGTGACACATCCTTACACTTAAGCATCTTCTATAACTCCTTCATGGCTGTCTCAGTCTCCTTCTGATTTCTTGGTTGCAGCCTCCCTTTTGGGTTGATAATGGAACCAAGGAACAGAAAATCTTTAACAATTCCAGTTTCTTCTTCATCAGCCTTCAAGTTGTGGAATTCCTCCGTAGTCATTACTTTTGCCTTCTCGATGTTAAGCTGTGACCCTGCTTTGCCACTTTCTGCTTTAGCCTTCATCAGTATTCATTTCAAATCTTTATATGCTCTGCCAGTTGTCTACTGTTGTCTGCATATCTCACATTGTTAATGTTCCTTCCAACCAATTTTCACTCCACCTTCACCTAAATCTAATCCAGCTTTCCTTATATGTTCTGAGTATAGATTGAAAAGATAGGAAGGTAAAACACATCCTTGTCTGATTAATTTAATCACCTTTGCCCATTAATTTAGTAGTATGGGGAAAGAATTTTCTCTGAAGAGCGGAAAGTGATCAGAAATTCACTGAGATTGGGCAGCATTTTACAGCAAACAGCAGTTAATTACAGAACCTAATTAAAAGATCTCAACAGCTCTTTTGCACAAATTAACATGCCCTTTGGGAGCATCTGTGAGTACCCTGTCAGGCTGTATACTGGCACTGTGTCTTCCCGATGCCGGGAGGAGGCATGGATATGGAATGTTGTTGAGTCAGCCTCAGTGGTAACTTAGGGGTGTGCAATGAAAAAAAATATTCTGTAATATTTGGATTTGGGGGGTTAGAATAGTATTTGGGAATCTCTATTCGACTACAAGCCGTAGTCTTCAAGAAGTTGGAAACCGTTACCTGGAGTCTCTTTATTTTCTCTTCCAGAATTACGGAAATAATGACCAGGATTGAAAGGCCCATAACAATAGTTCCACAACTCTCAAGGGCGTTTAGGTCTGTTTCTGGATTTATAACCTGCTCTTCCTCTGCACCCCAGAAGGCAAATCACTTTTGAAATTCAGAGGATTTTCAAAAGCAATTTATGATCTGACATGAGAGAAAACGATCATTCAACAAAACAGGACACAAATTCCATGTGTGCCCCACACCTGGTATCTTTTTGGGGTTCCAGACACTGTGGTCTGTCAAGGGTCTTTCCCATGATAAAGTATCTGAGATATGAGAGGGAGAAGGGTGTGGGGGAAAGGATTTGCTACTATATTAAAAAATGAGGATGTCCCCCCCCTGCTGATTGCAAAGGTTCACTGCTGGGAATATGGTACCTTTGTGAGTACAATAGTCATCAGATGTTTGAATACTCAATTATCCCATAAAGCAAATTTGCAAAACACAAGAGTTGGCTGTGATGCTTTTATGTATTCACTTAATTGGTGTGTTCCCCTAACTACCGTGTTTCTTAGACTGGATGGCATTTGTTGGGGCCCTCTGATGTCATTTTTGTCAAGTTCAACTGCAACTATTATGTTCAACTAAAATCAGACAGGATCCAGCTTTCATTCAAGACCTCCAGTAACAATTCCGGTCTTCTGATGCCGGGCACAATCCAGTCAAAATTGCACACTTAGATCTCCAGGCAGCATCTTAGCTCTCCCACTGAAATTAATGGGACTTTTAACTCCAAACATTACTGTCACGTAGGGATATTTAATGTTCACTAAAGTCAGTAAGGGCAATCAAAGGTTCTCCATACTAAGTTCTCCATACTCAGGATCACAGCAGTCCCTACCACAGACCACATTAGAGATGGAGACCTGAGGCTGAAAGAGTATTATGTGTTCACAAGGCCACCTACAGTACAATCAGACCAGTTTCACACAAGAGCTGCGCCGTGGTCACGCCTCCTTTTGCCCCACATCTATTGGTCAATTTCCCACTAGAAGCTGCACGGCCGCATTTTGACCCGTGGCTTCGCCTGATTTTCTCTGCAGTTTCGTGATCCTGTTTTTTGAGGATCACGAAACCGCGGGGGAAATCGGGTGAAGCCGCGGGTCAAAATGCGGCCGCGCGGCTTCGAGTGGGAAATTGACCAATAGAAGTGGGGCAAAGGGAGGTGCAGCCGCGGCACAGCTCTTGTGTGAAATCAGTATCAGTTGAGTCAATGGGCTTAGGAGGATGGTGCTGCTAGTCCCTGTGACGGGATTTGAACCAGTGACTTCCCAGCGCATTCTCTTAGCTACTCCGCCACACCAGCTCCCAGCTTGTGGGAAATTGTGATTTTAATACATTGAGGTTATCCACACCATGTGCCAGAATAATTTTTCAATCACATATTTATACACTCCGTAGCTACTTCTTTCCCCCCACTAATTACAATGATTAGATATAATGAGTGTTATAACAGCTAAAAATTAAACTGAGATCGTGAATGGAGATTATAATGCATTCGTGCATTTGTGTTAACCTTGTAACTGTAATGCAGAGGAATCTTAAAGGCATTTGGTCAAGAACATTCAACTGTTGTGTGTGTGCATGTGTGATTTTTTTTTTTTTGCGCGTGACTTATTCTGTTGTGATGGGCTAGGAAACAGGACCACACTCCAGTCTGGGAGGTCACACTAATAAGGCTGAATCTGAAAATAGCTCTGTTGGTTATAAATAGTTTTGTTTTCCTCCATGCTTTTACCCAAAGCAGATTCTCACTCCTTTTGGAAATCCTTTGCTCTCCACACAGCACCATTTACAAACACTGGGGGAAAAAAACCTTTGAGCTTTGAGAAACAGATGGTACCCTGCTGAATCCCATAGATTTTGTTCCAGGCATGAAAAAGAGGAGACAGGCAAATCCTCAAAATGGCATAGGGAAGATTAAAAAGATATATATTTCAGAGTTTATGGCACCGCCATCCGCTTCGTTGTCTGCTTCCGTCAGGGTGAGATTAGCAGCAAAGGAAAAAAGTGATACGCTAAAGGTACAAATGAGGACCTGTATCCTTCAGTTGGCCTCCTCAAGGCTGTTTTGATATGTAAGTCTACTCACAAACAACCAGACAAAAGTTGGAAACTTCCAGTATATGTTTAGTGACATTTTCCTTAGAAATTTACTCCAACTGAAGAGAACTGGTTAAGTGACAGCTCAGCGGAGGAAGGTGATGTGAAGATAAACCAATTTCACCTCCGTTGTTTCCAACGTGTTTAACTCCCATTTGACTAGCCAGACAGAATGATGCAATTGTTCTGAGGTAAATAAATCGGGCTCCTGCCAACCTAGCAGTTCAAAAGCAAGAAACTGCAAGTAGATAAATAGGTACCGCTTCAGTGGGAAGGTAACAGCGTTCCGTGCGCCTTGGTGTTTAGTCATGCCAGCCACATGACCACAGAAACATCTTCAGACAGCGCTGGCTCTTCGGCTTGGAAACGGAGATGAGCACCGCAACCCTAGAGTCGGATTCGACTGGCTTTCGAGCAAGGGAAACCTCTACCTTTACCTAAATAAATAGGGATTATTTCTTTACCCACAGCACATTTATATCACATCCCTAAGAAGGTTTACTCAGAATTACATTCTAGTGGTATCAAAAGGGCATCACGCAGCCCGGAAGGGCTTGTTGGCTTTTGAGTTTAGCTTTAAAGGATGTGTTGGCAGAATGCCATCAAAATGCTTTAACGCAAAGATTATTGTTTCTGGAAGGAGCTGTTCTGTTTCTTTGAGGGGGTTTGAGCACTGAGGCTCGATAACAATTGTGCTTAAAGGCTTGATTACACAATCAGTCATTAAGAGGGTACGAAACTCTTGACATTGCTTCAGCCTTGGAACAGTATTATGGGATGTAGGCGTTTTGGAAGCTGGAGGAAGGTGAAAGCGAGAAACCAAAGCCACTTAAAAAACAATCCCCGCCTCTTTTTTCTTGCTGTTCCCCCCCCATCAGAGTACAATTAACATGATTTTGTTTTAAAAAGTGCACAGATTTAACTGCACATACTTTAAAAATACATTTAAAAACAACAAAAAAGAGACTCTACTTGGGAGACGGGCCAAAATAAGAATAATTTTGATCCTGTTTCTACTGGTACTCCCAGCTTGAAAGCACCATTACAGACGTTTTTGGATCTATGGGATGAATCTTAAGTGTGGAAAACAGAGTCGTACTTCCACTAAGTTTAAGGCTGCCAAACTCCAGGTTGGAAAATCCCTGGAGATTTGGGGGTGGAACCTGGAAAGGGGGGGGCTGGGGGGGGGGGGGCTCAACATGGTCTAATGCCATAGCGTCCCACACCTGAAGCACCCATTTTTTCCGGAGGAACGGATCTCTGTACTCTGCAGATCAGCTGCAATTCTGGGAGATCTCCAGGCCCCACCTAGAAGTTGGTACCCCTAACACAATTCCTGTCTCGAGGGAATGAGGTTCAAAACACCCTCAATCCAATCATGTCCCAACACACAAACTGGTTTGTTAAAGGTACAAATGTGTACCATGTAATTAGACCCTTTGCATCATGGAGGAGATAATACTGGTCCATGTCACAGAATTCCCTTGGGAAGAAGTAGAAGAAGAAGAACAGGAGGAGGAGGAGGAGGAGGAGATTGGATTTATACCCCACCCTTCGTTACCCAAGCGGTTTACAAACTCCTTTCCCTTCCCCTCCCCACAACAGACACCCTGTGAGGTAAAAGAAGAAGAAGAGATTGGTAGTCCTTCACTACCAAAAGGTGTCTCAGAGCGGCTTACAAACTCCTTTCCCTTCCCCTCCCCACCACAGACACCCTGTGAGGGAGGTGGGGCTCAGAGAGCTCTTGACAGAAACTGCTCTTTTTCAAGAACAGCTCTTATCAGAACTATGGCTTGCCCAAGGCCATCCAGCCAGGTGCAAGTGGAGGAGTGGGGAATCAACCCCGGTTCTCCCAGATTAGAGTTCGCGCACTTAGCCACTACTCCAAACGGGAGGATAAAAATCTGACAAATAGATTGATCAGACAATTTTTTGGGGAGGGAAAAAATGATGTAGAGTCTGATCCGGTCAAAGCAAAGCACTTCTACGTCCCATTGCTTTAAATGAGAGTAGCGGACATGTGTTTAATTAAAAGGATTTTTTAACCTCGTGCTGAATTGGAACCTAAGAAACATCACAGAGATCATTACTCCTCTATTGGCCTGCATTTAGCACTTGCTGTCAAAACCATAACTTTGGACCAATGGTGACTAGAAAGCAACAGCTGTCCTTACCTCAAAACTCACACATCCGTTATGATCTGTGTCAAACGCGTTGAACAGAAAATGTGCATATGTTGTGGAATCTGTAATGTAAAGAAGAATGTGAACTATTACCTGTGTTTTAACATTCCACAGAAGAAAATAGAGAGCCTTCTGTACCTGTCACTCTTCTGTTCTTATAAAAAGGATCTTTGCTTTGCATCTCTCCTTCCCCAAATTTACCCATCACGGAAGTCTTTTTTTCCACCTGCTGTTTTCATCACTTGGTAACTGCTTGCCCTGCACTGGTTTCAGTAGCAGGATGCATTAATCAATAGGGGTGTACATAATGAAATTACTGAGATATATGCACAGAAATGGCTGGTTCTGGTTGGTACAGTGATTTTCAAGAATGGTAACCCAAATCCAGGGTTGTTGGTACAACAAAAGCCTCTTCCCCAAAACTTTTTTTAAAGTTTGGGTGCTTATGAGCAAAACAGCATGTGCTCATCTTTTTCTTTAATTCCACTGATTTCCTTGGCAATAGCATGTCTCCTTTCAATCAGATCCTTGCACGGGAGGAGCACAGAACACTCCCAGCCAATCATCTTTGGAGACAATCTGCAGATAACTGCTGTTCTCCCTCACTTGGTCCTTTGTAGGGGGGCAACCCTTTTGTTCTTTCAAATACTATAATTGGGAAGATTTATTTATTTATTTTATTTATCATTCAATTTATATCCCACTCGAACCCCGAAGGGTCTCTGAGCGGCTTACACACAAGATAAAGAGATGGGGCATCTTGCGAAGGAAAGGAAGTACTAAATAGAATGACAAAAATGCCAACCATCTTTGGAGAAAAATGGGAGCCAGGAATGCCACGTGACTTGCATGGGCTCCACTGGAATATATAAGAGTTGCAATGAAAATGAGGAAAGAAGAAGAGGAGGAGTTGGATTTACACCCTGTCCTTCACTCTGCTTCCCTTCCTCTCCCCACAACAGACAGCCTGTGAGGTAGGTGGGTCTGAGAGAGCTCTGAGAGAACTGCTCTTGAGAGAACAGCTGTGAGATAACTGTGACTGACCCAAGGTCACCCAATCTGGCTGCATGTGGAGGAGTGGTGAATCAAACCTGGTTCTCCAGATTAGAGTCTGCCACTCTTAACCATTACACCAAACTGGCCCTGGGCCTTGCATGACAGCCCCCAGAATGGAATGATGGTCCCTGGGTCAAGATAGACAGCTCTGGGCCTAGAATTACAGCTCATTTTGAATAAAGGATCAACATTTGGAACTGTACTATAAGAGTGATTAAGATGAGGTGCTGAGAACAGGAATAACCCAGAAAAACCATTATTTTCAATGGGGAATGTATGCGGCTTTGGGGCAGCGGTTAATAAAGATAATGCAACAAAATTTGCACAAAATACAGTCCTCCCTGATAATTTTTTCTCTCAAATGGAGAATGAGACTCCTTATGGCATTGGATATGGAGAAACTGAAGAAATACACAGAGCAAGCAGCCCCCCCCCCCCAAATGGAACACAGGCATGGAAAGCAGGGAACCTCAAAGTGTGGTCTTTCATCATTTCAAGTGTAAGTGGACAATACTTATCTTCAGGCAAAGATTTAACTGCAGCCAAGCAAATGTTTGATCTGCTAATCAATTCATATCAACTAAAAGGGTGGGTATTTAGAAATGTCTTAAGGCAGAGATTAGGAGTCCTAAAATACCAGGATTGGGAATGCTTTCATTTTCATGTTTGCATGTTGTATCTTTGCACGGTTTGCAGATTCGGGAAAGGAATTTGACCAGGAAGATAAACTGTGAAGTTTTTTTTAATGAACCTTCCCAGCGATAATGCACATATTGTGAGTCAATTAGAAATGGAATTAGACTTATCTTTTGAAAAAGCAGTGCAGGAATTATTTGCAGAAGTGCAAAGACAAAAAGTTTTGAATTGTAATGTTGAGACTCTACCTAGAGAGTTCGCCCACAAGGCTTACATAAAGAAGCGGCCATTTAAAGGCACTTGCTGGCAAGAGAAAAGGAATAACGCTGCCAGGCCACTGGAAACAAAAGGACCATTTGTTACCAAGGCGACCCCTGAGAAAGCAAAAGGGAGAGAGGGGAACTTTCGCATGTCAGGAGGGAAACCTGAGCCACTGCAGTGTTTTCAGTGTAAGGAGGGGGGCCATAACAACTCCGTTTGCCCCAGTGCAAAGCAGGACAAAGGGAATAAAAGCTGTCCTGACTCTGTGAAGCAGGAATTTAGACACTGGAACTTCACAGCCATTTTAAATTATGACAAAGCTGATTTGATCATAGACGGTGGAGCGAGTTCAGATTTATCAAATAGCAGAGATCAGTTCATTAACTTGCAAACACTAGAAAGCTCTGTAACTGTATATTTAGGTAACAAGACCACAGTCAAGGCTTACTTCATGGGTGTCAGGGTCTTTAGGCAGGTCACACCACACAGGGCTTCAGAAGAAGATAACTGCTTTAATTAGTGATTCCAAGACTAAAGAACACGTATACAGCTTGTGTCGGGAATACCCTTCAGTATAAGGGCCTCTGACTTATAGTGAAATCAAACGTCCCCCACAATGAGCTGAAGCCAATGATTATAGTTCGCGTGCATGGCAAAAAGCAAGCGAGCAAGCAGGCACAGTGAAAAGCCGTTACGTTCCCAGCTGGAAACTACAAGGTCAAGTCAGAGACAGCGCACAGTAGCTGGACAGGGAAGAGCTGAGGACGAGGAGGAAGGCACCCCTCAACATTCCAGATCCATGACAGGGCTACCTGACATTGGGTGAGGTCTTATTATGCCCAGCAGATGGTGCCCCTGAATTTCAGCTGCCCCCAAAACACATGTGGAATTTACTGCCAGAGGATGTAGTGATGGCCACAGGAATAAACAGCTTTAAAAAGGGATTAGATAGATTCATGACATTGATATGTCTATTGATCGCTTCTAGCCATGGTGACTGAGGAGAACTTCCAAACTTGGAGGCACTAATCCTCTGAATCCCAGAGCCAGGAGGCAACATCAGGGGAAGCCTTCGGCCTCTTAAGCCCTGTTGCTGGCCCTCCAGAAGAACTGGCTGGCCACTATGTGAGACAGGATGCTGGACTAGATGGACCCTCACTGGTCTGATCCAGGAGGGCTCTTCTTATGTTCTTAATACTGAAGGTGACAGAATATTTGTAGCAATCTTGCATACCTTCCAAATGTTTCTTGTGATCTGTGTTGCCATGGTCCAGTAACCATTCCAAGGCAGAGGGAAGGGTGATGCCCTCAAGCTTTTAACTGCAGCCACTTAATGTGTTGCCTCAGTCACTAAGTCTGGGATATAAATCAGTACAGAGAGTTTTGTTTCCTAATGAAATACAGCTTGCCTTCAACACTCAACCGTTGTGACTTTTATGATGTATTGACATTCGGACAGGTGGCAAGAGGGAGCATCAGGCACTGCACAGACTGTCTTGCTGACTCAGACCGGACCCCGTAACCAAAATTATCCAGCAGCTCAGTTTTCATTAGCATAGTCATGGAGGCCACATATTTAAATGGGCCTGGCCAGAGGATTTAATGCAGAGAGCCAAAGTAGTTTCATAATACCATAAGTTATAAAACCATTATTTCACCTTGTGTAATAGCCTATGTGGTTTCAATGAACAGAACCATGTGTTACACGAAATATGGGGCTGTTCCCTAAAATGGTCCCCCTTGGATGACTTCTCCCCCTTTGCATTATTATAGAGTTCTAGAATTGGATCTTCTAAGCCAGCTAGCCCAATTGCCTACTCAGTGCAAGAAATCCAAAGCTAGACCACTCCCAACAGATGGCTCCTCAGCTTCTGCCTGTAGTACACCTGGGATTCACCTGCAACTGAACTGCTCTCACCCTTCAGTCAAAGGACTGGCATAGGGGGGGAGGGAGAGGGGGAGAGAGACAGAGTGGGCTTGAGGTACAGCTGAACTCCCCTTCTCTCCCTACACTGAGGCTCAACTCTCAAGAAAGAAGAATGCAAAACCAGTAACAAAGCAGCATGTGAAGGGGTGGACTTAGTGTTGCACCCGCACACAATGTCACTCCCAGCTTTGCCCAGGATGTCACTGTTGTTTCAACACTCTAGGATTCATGTAAAACTCTATGGTTCAGAGTGGTGCTCTGACACGATGACATCACTTCCAGTTTCATGCCAGGAGTGATGTTGCATGTCGGTGAGACAATGAATAACTTGTCCCCTCCCCCCAAATCCTCCCACTGGGATGCCAGCTAGGGCTGGCAATGCTAGAGCAGAGAAAGAGAAAGAGGGGACTGGAAGGGAGCCTCTAAGAAGAGCAATCTGGGAAATAACGAAAGAGCAGCTAAACAGACAAGAGGATGACTACAGAAGGATTTGACCTGTCTGCCTCGCTAGCTTTACTGCCCCATCTACAGCCCAAGTGTACTTAGGGCAAAGAGATGTAGCACTGTCCTTCACTTCCAACACCTGGTCTAGAGTTGCCAGGTCTTACCTGGCTGCCAGTGGGGGGGGGGTCCCTCTCTGATCCTGGGACTTTTGGGTAACCATAGAGTTTTTTCTCAAACACTAGAGTACCCCCACCGCAACGTGCCCTGTGCGATGATGTCACCTCCAGAAGATCTCATTGTGCTGGGCACATCGGCACAGATGGGGCTCTTTGGGGGCAGAGCTCCCCCGCTGGCCGGCAGCAGATTGGGGTTCCTGTAAGTGGGTAAAGCCCTGCCCCCAGTGGGGGAATGGCAACTTTAACCTGGACTCAATACATAAACTAATTTAATTTGGGCCTAAAAATTGGCATTCATTGTGTAGAACCAGGGAGCTGTTCAGAAGGAGATGTGCTGCTGAAGGAACATGGCGTGTGGTCGGGAGCACGCGGGTGAATGGCCCCTATTGACTGCCATAAGCGACCCTTCTAAGGGAACCTGATGTAAACGGACTTCAAAAATAAAAGCCTCATACAGTCTTTTATTAGGAACAACCAAAGCAACACAAAACTGCAGGCAAGTTTTTGAGATCTCCAGAACTCTCCATCAGGATGGCTGTTAAACAACAACAAAAAAGGGGGGGGGAGAAGAAAGTAGAGTGAATGATGTTAAGGCCTTGCCTCCTAAGCATCTTTTGTGAGAACATTTCCCTGAATTCAATGGGATGGGGCTATACATTTAAACGAAGAAGTGTTGTATTGTGCTCTTGAAAACAGCTGTTGCTTGTAAGATTTCCCACGTCTTAATTAAAGGCCCAAAGTACTAGTGTCCCCTATTAAAGAGGTATAAAACATGCCATCAATGAGAACAGCAGTATTCAGACTGAAATTTCAAGCAATTACAATAGCAATTGTTTCTGTATGCAAACAAGACTCATTATCTGCATTGTACTCACCTCCCTGTGGGAAGAACTGTGAGTAGATCTCTTTGAAGGTCTCTTCATTAACAATCCCACTGGGACATTCCTAAAGAAAGTTGCAGAGAACACAGCTGAGTCACATGCCGGCCTACAAGCGCCCTTTGTGAGGCTGCAAAACCAAACTTATGTTATACTAGGAATAAGGTCCGTTGTGGAAATAAATACAACAATATCTAGAAAGAGGCTCTGGGCAGGTGCCCTGGCCTTGAGCACTCAGTGTCAATTTGCTGTGGTGACCTCAGCAGGGTATAATGACACAGAGCTTACTGTTTTCTCCAGGGGAACCGATCTCTACCATCTGAAGAACAGTTGTAATTCTGAGTGATCTCCAGCCCTCCCCTGGAGATTGGCAAAATGGTTCCCCAAGAGGAAATGGCTGGTTTGAAGGGTGGAGTTGGCATTGTACCTGTCTTGGGTCCTACCCCTTCTCAAACCCCACCCTCTCCAGGCTCCACCCCTCAAATCTCCAGGAATTTCCCAACCTGGAGTTGGCAACCCTATCTCCTTCCCAGGCAACCATCAACCTACCTTTATGTGCCCCTCTGACTTCAGCTTTCCATCTCCTTCCCCCTCCTTCCTGGAGAGCAGTTGTAATTCTCAGTGATCTCCAGTCCTCCCCTGGAGATTGGCAAAAATGGTTCCCCAGGAGGAAATGACTGGTTTGGAGGGCAGAGTCTATTGCATTGTACCTGTCTGAGGTCCCACTCCTCCTCAAACCCCACCCTCTCCAGGTTCCACCCCTAAAATCTCCAGGAATTTCCCTACCTAAAGTTGGCAAATTTATCTCCTCCCCTCTCAGCAGCCTCTTCCTAGGCAAAGTTCTGTCTTTCTTGTTAGTGGGGAGCAAAGCAGCTTACTTTATTTTCCTCTTCTGCTTTGTGATCTGTACAGCAACCCTGCAAGGTAGGTTAGGCAGAAAGTCTGGGGCTGGTCCAAAATCACCCAGGCAGCTTCCATAGGGAGCTGAACAGGAGCAAGCAGCCAGGGCTAATAAAGTAATGCCAGTCAGGGGGCATGAAGTCAATCTGAAAGTGCTGGCAGGCCTAGGGTTGCCAACAAAGACAGATTGATGCAAAGGAGGGTGGAAAACTCTCCATATCTCTATTTTGCCTTAAATTGGTTTTGGTGCCAGCAGAGTGAGAAAATGGCAGAGGCTCTGGATGGGTGCCCCATGGTAAATGGACAATTCCTAAAGATTTTCCAAAACACTACTCTGTCCACATTCATTTTCTACACTCACAGCATCCCCTGCCAGAATGCAACACATCCCCAGCACTTTGAATTAGCACCAGAGCTATAAGAGCTCTCCAGCTGTAACCTGGAGATTGGAAACAATGGTATTCCAGAAAGAAATAGGTTGTTTGGAGGGTGGGAACTATGGCACTGTATCTGTCTGAGGTCCTCCTCTTCCTTCTTTCCCCCTCAGCAGGCTTCATCCCTAAAATATCCTGGAAGTTTCCAACCTGGAGCTGGCAACCATCAGCCTACCTTTATCCGCCTGTCTGTCTTCAGGTTTACACCCCCCCCCCCAACAGCCTCTGCCTAGGGAAAGGGCAGTCTTTCCCTGCAGTGGGAACCAAAGCAGCTGACATCATTCTCCTCTCCCCCGTATGATCCACACAACAACCCTGTGGGGTATGTTAAGGTTGAAAGTCTGTGAATGGTCCATAATCCCCCAGGCAGCTTTTATAACATGAACCTGGGACCTGCACACCCTCCTCTGAAGCACTCTCAGGTACATATCTGTGGCAGTAATGGGGTGACTGCTGGCACCTTTTCCTATCATTTTTTTGCTTTGTGGTATTCTGCTTGTGGTGTGATCTGTCTTTTTTGTGTGTGGCATCGTTGTGTTATTGGGTTTGTTTCTTTTGAAGGGGAAGTGATGTGTTGTGAGTCTATACCAGGTCGCATATGCAATGGAGAGTTCCAACTGTCTTGTGGGGGGGGGGAGTTTGAGGTGTGGAATGGAGTGAAGCCCAATCAGCTTCCATATGCAAATGACCTTGAAACGCTGGCCAAATCAGAGAAGAGTGGCCTAGGCTGCAGTGGCTGGGAGAGAACTCAGGCAACAGAGCCAGTGGATAGAGACACCTTGTGATTGACACATCACAGAGCCAACTGATTTTGGCGGACATAGAATGTTGCCAGACTAAATTGCAATTATATATAAGGAGAGATAGAGTCTACCTTTCTCACTTGGACTCAAGATGGACTGCACAGCCAACGAGTGATTTCAAAAACACCAAGCTACCCCCCAAACATCCACGTGATGAAGATGTATGCTTTGGATGCTTAGCACTGGATCCTCTCCTAGAAGGTGGTTGGTTTGTTTTATAATGCAGGAAGAAGGAGGAGGAGGAGATTTGGAACCATTAGGGAAAGGTGTCTATAAACCTTTGCTGCACCCACACTTAGAACACTGCCTGCAGATCTGGATGGGGTTGCAAGACATTGTTATATGAGCCAACTGTGGCTCCACATTAACAGCCACAGCTCCAGAGGCCCCTGCAGCATAGAACCAGGAGGGCTGGACAGATGGAAGATGGAAGCAGACATGCAGACATGGTTTGCCATACACCCAAACATACAGTATGAGTTCAGTGCTACCCACAGTCTGGTGTCATCTCTGATGCGATCCAGACAGTGAATGACCGGGCAACAGTTCTGTAGTAATAAGAAGACTGTTTTAATCAGGTGATGGTTTGTGCTTTCATGCCTTTTTTTCTAAGGCTTGCATAATCTTTCAGACCAGGGCAGTTCTCTGACATTTTTTAAACTGTAGGGGCACTCCATTGCGTAAAATAACCAGGTTTGGGGGGGGGGGAGTCACTTATGGTTCTTGTAGCTACTGCAGATAGGATAACATTTCTATTGGCAGAGTTTTGGGAGGCAGATCATTACAGGTGTGTCCCTATCTGATGGCTCCGGCTCAGTAACAATGTGCACAGTTTACGGGCAGGTGACCTGATGAAACACTCATTTACGGTCTCATCTAAAATCCTATGTCGTGCAATAAAATCCAAGTGTCTGGGGACGGGACCTCAATTCTGTTTTCTTGAGCATTTCAATCCCTCCATTCTGTCGTATGATTCTGAGACACACGAGGGCAGCAGTGTGTTCAGCAAGAGACTTCCTGGAACAAATACAGAATCCATCATTACCCTGTTCCCTCACTTGGGTCTCAGACCTGAATACAGGACAGATGAACACCAGTGGCAGTGCTCTATTAAATGAACTCCATAGAAAAGGAGCTTTACTTGCAAACTAACCAGTCACTTCAGCTAGTGTGACAGAAACACTATTCTTTGCCAGTTCAGTACAGCCTAATCAACCGTATTGGGAGGGGTCACGTTTTACCCTTTCCTCCCTCCAATAAGGAAGACCTTCCTCTACTGACTTCCTTCCCATTATATAGTGACAGACTTGCTGCTAGTCCTTAAATTCTCTCTATGGCCCCTGCTGCACTGACAGCTTGCTCCAGAGAATCTGAGGAGTCAAGCCTTAAGAGGTGACTTTGCAGTCACACACATTCCCTCTGTGACTTTGCAGTTGCCGCATTCCCTCTGCGTTGGTCCCCCCCCCCGGTTTATTTATTTGTGTATCCTGTATGCATTTTGCACCTACAAGCAAAACCCACATTTTTTGAGCTAACTGGCTGCCACCCCCTCCCTCCCTCTGTGATTCTGCAAAAAGATAGGGAAGAGAGGGGGAAATCCAGGCCCACACATGCAAGACTGACACATTTGGGAGCAGGAAATCCCCTAGTCCTGTGTATTTACTGACTCCTTCCTATGCTCTCTCTGGCTTTTTTAAAGTTTGCCTGAGCGGGAGGACACACCCTCTTTTGTCTTTGGAGAAGGAGGAAAAGAAAACAGAATGGGGAGGGAGTATCAACCTAAAGAGAGAGAGGTGGAAACGGGGAGGGTAGTGAGCAGTACTTAAATACCCGCAGAAACAATTCTACTTTAGAAAGCATTAGCGATTTGAAAGCAGATGAGAACAAAGAATCGCTGCAAAAGGAATTTTGGTAACTGCAGGGCAACAGTGTGCTGGAAGTGGTCTGAATGCAGATTCTTGTAAACAAATGCAGAAACAAGAGAAAGCGCCAAAACAAAGTGAAAGTGACAGCAGGAGGGAATGCAGAACAAAAGAATAGGATACACTCAAAGACTTAGGTGAAATACAGGTGTAGAAAGGGCCCTTATCTCCTGGGGAAAATCAGCAGAAGCTCACTAGTACTAATTGGCTGGTGGGTTGGTTGAATGCTTTCAACTTTGGTTGTGCTTATATTCCATTTCAGACTGCTTCAGCACCTATGCTTCATTGGATATTGCACTTTCCTTGAATGATTGCTAAGGTTAGTACAATATCCAGCGTTGTGTGGATGCAACCAGGCACGGACTGCTCTCCTTTGACATCGCCAATGTCAGCTAGCTGCCATGTTTCAGTTGTATTTGCCCCTTCCTGACTGTGGCGCTACGGCGCATGCTTGCTCGCTTGCTGTAAACAGCGATAGGGAGGCACTCATGAGACCGTGCAAACTGGCACTGCCAGATTGGGTTATCTGACTAACCTTGAGGATGAGGGAAGGCTTGCGTCCCACCATTGGTGTGAATACTTCTGCTCTCATGAGGCACGGAGACTCTCCCGTTGATTATGTAACCTCCCGCCAGGAGAATTCTCGCCCGCGCACTTAGATTTCATTTGCTTAGCCATTTGCAGCATCATGTTATATGAAGGGATGCATCCGCCCCATTGTCATTCCTAACAATATACCTGTAGATCATGGCAACAGACCTGTAGTCTAATAAAGCATAACGATTCCCTGAAAACGTGTGTGGAGATATACTTGCTGTTGAACCTGACAGCCAAGCAGGCTGTGTAAAAATAGATATTTTTTTCAGGGCACTAAAATTGTTCTAAAAGCAAGTTTTCTTAACAAAAAAAACCTTTTAGCTGGTTTAATGAAAAGTTGGAGGATCCAGGCTTTTTGCCAGGAACAACTCTAACCACTTCATCCCAGTTAGTAATATTGCTTCTCGTCAC